AACTGTACGCGCGCACTACTATTTATTTTTGATTCTTTTTTTTTTTTTTTTTTCGTCCATAAACGACGTTCTATTGTACGTCGTTTCTATTATCCGTCCGATCGGTACGGTTATCAATCGATTACGTTTCACGTACGTCTTTGGTAATAACACACGACTGTTCTTCTTACGGTTTCCTTTCGGTTCGAATTTTCCTCACCCGTTCGCAGTGAACCGCGCAGTGTAGTTATCTCGTGTGTCGCGCGCGCGTCACTACTGTGCTCCGTCGGCACCCGCCGCCCGATCTACACCGAACTTCGGGCATTTGATGCGCTCGCCCCGTCGGCCGCTCCGCGTCACTCCGCTACGGAACGCTTTCGCGCGCACACGCGTTCCCGCCGCCGTTTGAAAATGTCCCGGCCGTTCGTTTTCTGATTTTCGTTTTTCACGTTCACCGCCGCCGGTCGGCCAACAGGTAATTACATATTTTACAACGCTTTTTCGTCCGCTGTACGTTTTCGTCTTGCCAAATGTCTTCCTGTTCTTCCTAACCCCTTACTTATCCCGTACCCGTCACACCGTAGGTGTTAACAACCGTTACGTTTCAGTCGTCGTGGATTTCGTAGCGACGCTATGCCCGATACTTTATTCATTAACACGATTTCCTAAATATTTTTTTATTTATCACGCCTTTTCCTTTTGTAAAATTTACTTACTGTAAACCGCTTCGTGTAAACTTATTTCTATATTAATTTTTTCTTATTATTAGGATTATTAGGATATTTTATACATTTATAAAATAATCTTTCATCGTTAGGTATTCGTTAATGGGGCAATTGATTATATCTAGTAAATAAAAACCAACAATGATTTATTCTAAACCCTAAGTGCCGAACAACTATGCAATGAATGTTTATTATTCTATGTGTTAGTAATCTGGTTTAAATCTTTATCATCACATTTACATAATAATTTTTATTCTATGTTTATAAACATTTTTACTAAGGAATTATTGATGAGTGTTTATAAACATTTAAATTAATTACCCTCTGATAAAATAAATTGTATTTTTATAAATTTTTATAAACTGCATGCTTTTATAATATACTTATCTACTACATAACTATATTTTTTAATAATGAATAAAATTTGTGTCTTATCTGTTACAGGTAGTTGACTAATAGAATGGAAGTTTTACAAACAGAACAACATAATGAAGGTAAACCTCATATCATAAAAATTAATAATGGTAGCACCCCAAGTACAAATATGACCGACGTTGACCAAGTTAATAACGCAAAGGAGCCTGTAATTTTAAATACCATACCTAATATCCTAGATGCTCCAAAATCATCAACAGAAGATTCTGAAACTATAGTTCAAAATGTATTAATTAATATGAAATCTGATGTATTATGCTCAACCAATTCAGAAAATAAAACCAACATGGATTGTAATGTAAAATCTTATGATAGCAATGATAAAAATCTATGCTTAAGTTTATCTACATCAAATTCTAATTTTAATCCTTCTGAAACTCTAGTTTTTTCAAGTACTGAAACAACTTATTCGGATGTAAATAATGTTTTTACTACTAAAAAAAAAGGGTTTTCAATTGAAGAAATTAGTAAAGATGAAGTATCTCAAAATAGCCAAAGTATGTCATCCTATTCAAATGATTATACTTGTTTTTTAAGTGAGCAAACAGATGCTATAAGCAATTTAACCCCTTTTAAAAGAAGCAATAGCTATTATTTCGATTCTCCAGTAAAGAAGTTATGTTCTACCAAGCTAGATAGCGAGGAAAAACCTAATAAATTACCTAATGCTACATTATTTTCAAGTGAAAATAATAGTAAAATATATACTGGATTCACTAGCATTCAAAATGATTTAGAAGTAGATTGTATTCAAGACCGATACGATGGTAGTGATTCTGGATTTGGATCAGAATTAGCTGAAGACAAGAACTGCAATAATTTGGATGTATCAATAGCAGCATCAAATTCATCATATAAAAATGATTTTGCATTGAACCAAGAATCCAGTTTTGAAGATTTACAAAGAACATCAAATGAATTTTTATCTGCAATGGAAGTACTAAAGCCTAAGTTCTCAGATTCAGTTGTCGATTCAGTTCCAATAGAAGTTAAGGATAATTATGTTTTTGTTAAAGGCATTTTGAAACGAAATAAACCTATCAATTATGGTGTCTTAGCGTCTGATATAGTTTCAACAGAAAAGAAACGTAAAAATATAAATTTCACAAATGTTACAGTTTTCTATTTTCCTCGTGTTCAAGGATTTACTTGTGTTCCATCACAGGTAATAATTTTAGATTTATTATTCATTTATAGTAACTTTTATTGAATTTATTATTTTAGTATAATATTTAATCTTACATTTTCGATTTTAAACGTTTTAAATTTATGTGGTATAATTTCTAAAAATTATAAATTTAAAATTATAATTATTTTTATGATATTTTAGGGTGGTTCTACTCTTGGAATGACTAGAGTTCATAGTGCTTCACGAGTTTTTTCACTTCCTGAATATATTGCTGAACAGCGTAGGATACGTCGAAATTTGATTCAGCTGAGTCAGTCTGAGGTGTCCGGTACAAATAGTGATGATAGTGATAGTGATGTAGGAACAGCAGATGTTTATTCTGAATCTGAAGCTGATTTGGATTCAGATAGCAACGGAAGTTTTTTACAGGTCAGTAAACCTAATTAGCTATACCTAAATTGATAAAATAATTTTAAATTTAATTGACAACTAGCCTGTACCTACCCGACAAAGACGTGCTTTATTAAAAGCAGCTGGTGTTGAAAAAATTGATCCTTCAGAAAAAGATGATTGCAAAAGCATAAGGCTATCAAGAGAATTTTGTGGCTGTTTGTGTCGTGGTTTTTGTGATCCTGATACTTGTGCTTGTTTTCAAGCAGGAATAACATGTCAAGTAAATATTATACGATATAGTTTTTTAATAATTTATTTACTTTTATTGTTCTTTTCTTTATTATTATTGTTATTTTCAATCTTATTCTAAAAAAATTAAAATAAGATGAATATAATATTGATATAAATTTATATGAATAATTTTCTACCCGTATATAAATTTGATTTAGTTAATATACACCTTGAATGGTGTTAAACTAGTCAATAAAGCACGGGAGAAATTAATATAGATTTAAATTGTATACTATATCAGTGCTGTAACTAGAGGTTGCCAAAGGTGCATCACAAAGTAAGAGTGCGCATTTCAGTTAAAGTAAAATTGGGTGTTTTTTTGTATAATATAAGCACTAAAATAAAATATGTCATGGTCTCCCCCTCTTAGGGTAGCTACGGCACAGCACTATGCATAATTTTAGAATAAACAACCATAAACATTTTAAATAAATGTTAAAGTTAAAAAGGTTATAATTTAAAAGTTATAATTTTAAAGGCTATAATTATTTTGTAATAGTATTTATGTTCCATTTGTGTTATAGGTTGACAGAATGAATTTTCCATGTGGATGTACAGTAGATGGTTGTGGAAATTCTGTTGGTCGGATAGAATTTAATCCGACAAGGGTTCGAAAACACTTTATTCATACTATAATGAGACTTGAAATTAAAAAAAGAGAAGCACAAGAAGAGGAGCAGTGTAACAAACTAGCAATGACATCCCCACTTCTATCTAATTTTTCTTATCATGATTCTAGACATATACAACCATATTATCAACCACAGCATTATGAACACAGTCTAAATGATTATAACTATCATTCATTTTTGCCTGTTTATGATGGCCAGCATTTTGCTCCTGAAACTAATACATTGAATAACTATCATTTAAACAATTCACACACTTTGTATGAACCATACCAATCATTTCCATCTGCGTTTGTGCCTTTATCTCAAGACAGACCTAGAGGAATGTCTATTTTAGATAACAAACCTGAATCTTTTACGGAGCTATTGCAGCCATACAGTTTACATGGTACTGAGAATACCAATTCACTTGGTATTTCTAATATCCCAAGTACATCTGATAAAGATAGTTTCAATTTAGAAACTGAAAATTTAGGAGAAATTATTAAAAACACTATAGTTGAAAGTGTTAATTCATAATATTCCCAACCTACCATAAAAACAAATGTTCTTTTTTTGCTAGTTAATTTTTTTCATTGCAAAAAATTTTTTGAAAGATTATTCATATTTTTATAATTTATTATATGTTTTGTGAAATAACTAAAGTTTTAACATATTACCATTATAATTAAATTAACTATTGACTAGTTAATAAACATATGTTTTAATAACCTGTCGGTAAAATATATTTGTACCATGCAGCGTTAGTATTTTTATTAATTGTTGTATTTTCAATAAAAATAAAATATTTATAACATCAGTACTTAATTGTCACAATGATTCTTCTGATTTTTTTTTTTGTTATGTGATCTCTTATTGATATTTGTATTATTTATCTTGTGTTCCATAATTAGATAATCTATTTTGCATTATTATTTATTTACAAAAATGTACATTTTTTTGCAAGTTTTACATAATTTATATTTATAATGTTTTTAATTATATAATGATATTAATTTGTTATTATTTTATTATTTATAACATAATAATACAATACTAACTAGAAAAATGTTATTAAATTATATTTTAATTATTTTTTTTAAATTTATTTTGGGTGCAAAGAAAAAAGCAAACAAGACATTTGATTAGGGAATTATTATAATATAAAAAAAAAGGAAAACATCAAAATTTTTGAATTTTCAAAATATTATGGTTTTTTGTTCGTATTTTAAATTTAGGAAAATTGGGTGTTATATTAATAGAGTATTCTATTTTATATCCTATTTACAACTATGTATTTAAAGCAATTACATTATTTATACTAAGCATATTATATATAGAATAAATATTATAATAATATTTTTATTAATTCTTTAAACATAATTTTTAAATGCTAAATATGTAGTTATTTCATTAAACAATCATCTTTATGATTATCCAAATTTTGGTTCATCTTTACAGTGTTATATTCTATTATTATTATTTTAAAATTATTAACCTTGTCATTTGTGTAAATATTAATATCCTTGATTCATTTGAAAAACGTGTTACGATAATCAATATTTTGTTGGCTGTATTGACATTCTAATAAATTGCTTTACTATTGTATTATGAATATTAATGTTATTGGAATGACTTAATATAGAATATATCAAACTTAATCATCTAATTGTGTTACATTTGTATAAAATTATGATATGCTACTTATGAATTTGTATTCTATAAAACAGGCAATAGATTCTCTGTGCAGTGTATTTTAATTCAACTCTATTACGGTGTCATAGAATATAGTAAGCTGTTTCCTAATAAAAATCTTAAATTTGTTGCATAGTATATAAGACAAACTGTTTTATTATTGTGATTATAATACAGTAAAACCTCAATTTCCCGTTTTTACTTAAACTATCATCCATCAACATTTGTTATTTGCCATCCATCATTATTACATTATTCTATATTATAAATATTGCACACTTGTTTATTGCATGTCGGAATCTTAAAAATAAACTATAATAAATAACTACTTTTTTTAAATTGTTTTATCTTATTGTTTTTACATTAAAATATGTTGTGTTAAAATTAATACATTATTGGATATGCATTATGAAAATATGTTTTTTTTTATTTTTATCACTCTATTTGTCCTGTTGCAGATGGATAATTGAGGTTCTACTGTATCAACATTATCATTTCTCCTACATTCTACATATTATAGCGATAGTTTTTATTTAACAATTTTTGGAACAATATTCTGAAATGTACATTTTTTTTTTTTATAAATATATACACAATTTCTACCATTAATATAAATATTTTATAATTTATTGTTATACTATTGATCTTTATTTGTGGTTTGTAACAATTTTATTTTTTGTTAACATTTTTATAATAGACAATCCTGATTGTGTTATTCTTATGATCATGGTGTAATTTACATAAATGTATGTTGCCCGTTTTGTGCATTTCGTTATTAAATAAAATAAAATATTGTTTTAGTACTTATTTATATTAATTTAAAATTACTCAATTTTTTCTTGTGATAATTACAAATCCAGCACCTTAAATAAGATAAAATCAAAGTAATATTAATATAATAATAAGCTTATTGTAGTTAGAGTATAGTTATAGTAGTTTGTCAATTATTGTGATTAGTGAACCTGTGCTATAGTGCTAGTATATACTATAGTGTTAAGTATATATATATATATATATATATATCGTTTGCTATGATACTCTTAATATTAATATACTAAAATAATATCTATTAAGTCTATACTTTTTCATAATACGTAATTATTATTATTGTTTTTTTCTGTAATCTTAATAACTAACAGTTGTTTCGTCTGCTCCAGTTTACATTCGAGAGGCTTACGATGATGCTTGTGTATAAAACGCTCGATTTGTAAAGTATTATATGTACCCTCAAATAATTATAAATATATATATATATCTTAGTTAGGTAAACACTTTTTTTGCAACCTACTAAATGTAACCAGGACAAACAATTTTATTAATAGTTTATTTATTCCAAATGTACATGTATTTATTTATACATTAAAAAATATAATCAGGCTAAATTCAAAACGTGACGTGTTAATTGTTGTTTGTGTTTATCACGTTTGAGGTTCAAGCTCCTGACATACAAATTGGCATAATTTTAAATAAATACCTACTCCTACACAGCTCGATTTAATAAAACCTTTTCTTGCTGATAATAATGTTTACCTGAGTTAATTAATATTTTTCAATATTATGATTATAATAATTTTTTTTTATACAGTTTAATATTAGTTTTCTTTTTTTTAAATATAAAAATATGTATATCTTCATTAATTCAATTTAAATTTGAAACAAATTATCGAGCAAGTGAAATCAAATACAAAAATCCAACTTCAAAATTGTTTTTTTCAAAAAAATTAAATTGTTTTTATGTACAAATCCTATTAGAATTGAAAATATAAATAAAATAATAAAAAGTTTACATTTATTATTTTATCGTATGAAGATAATTTCAAATTGATTTGTTACATTTTGTAATCTGGTTGAAATGCAATAATTTTAATTATAAGAATTAATTATATACTAAAATAAAAACATTTATCAATTTAAAACGAGTTTTAAATACTTAACAATAAACTGAACTAATTTAATATTAAGTATTTTATTATTTGCGTCGTTCATAATTTAAAATGTATCTAGTTGTATCCTTTAGTAGTATGTAGATGTACCATATAGTTCCTACTCTGCCAAAAAATGAGATGTGTAAGTTCCAACATCATGAAAAAAATGTGCATATGATAATTCTTGGTTTAAAGGGCTGGCGTTAGGAGAATGCAATATACACATGCAGTCTAAAACTGGGTAAACAATATTTCTTTGTCTCATTGGTCGCCACTGCGAACTATACTAACGATACTACAATGAGGAGTTACAATAAATAAAATATCTACAATATTCTGTGTATATTTTATTTTTATTTTTTTTATTGGAGAAATTTATTATTTTTAATTAGAGTAAATTTTCAATCTATACTTACATATGTGTACAATAAGTAAATTATTTGAATTTATAAGATCTATACACTACACGAATGCCTACTTTTTTGAGGACACTACTCATTAGTAGTACCTCTGAATTTGTTAATGTATAGTTCTCAAATTAAAATCAAGTTTTCTGTATCATTTTAATCAGACTCGTATACATACATACTATAAAAGTTTAAAGCAATCATTACAATTTTTTTTAACTAAGTATTTTTTTTTTTTAGCCTATGGTGATGAAAATATGTTTCTGCTTTATTAATATTATAATTTTCCCATAAAGAGTTCCAATAATTTAAATACAGAAAATAAAATATCAACATGATTTTAGTACATAATTCTTCGTTCATTCAATTTTCAAAAATTATATAATGCTCTTTTACAATTAACGAGTATGCTCGTTTACGTATCAAGCCATAATTTTGTATAATTTTTTTTAAAAAAATAATCAAGGCGATATGTATAGGCAAATTTAGTATATAACTGTCGATGGGGATAATGTTAAATAGTGTTATGTCAATCGTCATTGCATATTAGGAGATAAATATTTGATTAGAACTACTGATTTTGGTTATGCGCGGGATATACAACTGTTTCCGGGATACGCATAAAGTAATAAAGTAAATAAATAAAATAATAGTATAAAATTTATATATTTGGCTAGAGATTCGTGTGGGTGACTAGCTTGTCTGCATATGTAGTGTAAGAAAATAAATAATTTCCTTATTATAAAAAATAAATATATTAAAGAATTTTCAAAATTACTACGGTTTAATTAATCCATTGCACAAAAGAAAAAAAATATATGTCTTTAGTTAAAAATAATTGCTGATTTTCTATTGGATGCAAACCCTACAATGAATATCCGGCAAGGACTAGGATGTGTCTAAAAAACGCAGCCATTGTATCTTCAAATCATAAAAATAAGATGTATTTTAAAATATGATTCCGACTACAACACTTCTAACAATATTCATCATTAGTGCTTGTAAACTTATCTCTATCTCTATCCTAAATAAAATTGTAAGGGGTTTTCTACGACCGCGCAAACCGATAAAACTACAGAACCGATTTGGCTAAAATTTTTTACTGTTATAGCTGACGGTCGGCTAAAGGTTTTAGTAACACTTTTGTTAATGAAAAATAAGTATAAACTTCATGAAAAATTCAAGAAAAGGCTTTTTTTTATGTTTCCATTTTGTGACAAGATCATTTATCTTTTTTACAATTTTATCGTAGCTATTACTCCGAGAAATGTAACAGCGAAAGAAATCAATGACATCATCCTTCTAAAATTCGATGGAGAATCACGTGAATACCTATCTATTGATACATTTACATCAACAGACTATACTATTCATTATCCACAAGAATTTCTTAAATTCTCTTTCTCCTTCAGGATTTCCTCCTCATAAACTAAGAATTTGAATAAAAAATCTAAACATCCGAAAGAAAAATAAACAACCAAACACGGACGAAGCCAGTATGACGGGTCGGCTAATGTTGTATTAAAAAGCATTAAAATTTATCGC